CTTTAAGTGTTTAAAAGTTTGAATTAAAATATAAACAAAAAGGAGGCTTTAGTCCCAAAGTTTTGGGGAAAAAATGCATCATTTTGAAATCTATCTATCTGCAGATTCATTTCCGCTCTATAACTGAGCATTATGTGGACACATAACTCCCTCTTGTCAGCCTTTCTATCATATCTCAATATCCTCACTGTTCTGGGCCTGAACAGTGACACTGACTCATGAACTAAGAGGCTGTTGGAAGCACAAAATGCTACTGTGTTGACATGACAGAGCTGTGTTCTGCTTTTTCTTTTTCCCCACACAGGCTCTGGTGTTTCCCAACCAGCTCTATGAGGTTGTTTTTGAGGAGGAGCTTTCCACAACCAGCATCTCCGTCCGCCTGTACGGAGCAGCTTTGCTCAGTAAGTTTAAAAATGTCCCAAATCTCACAAAGGCACCCGACAGGCAGCCGAGGTCCCGTCATGCACAGCGTGACACGAATGCTTTCATGTTACTGGAACACGGCGTTTTAACATTTATTTATAAAAATGCTAAAAATATGCACTGCTCAACTGCTTTTTGCAATAATGCATTCATTAGAAGTGGCACACACTCTTCTTTCAGATATGACATAAAGAGCTTTCTTTCTGCAGGAAAAATCTCTCCTTCAGGCTCTGAACAGATGCGGTTTTAATCTGATACAGTTCAGTTCTCCATGAAGGCACGCTGGAGGCAAGGAGGGCAATTCTCTGGAATACTAACCTAATGCTTCACTTGCCTCTTGTTACCGTGGCTTCATATGTCAAGTTTAAATCTGGGGGGAATTTGGTGGGAGATGCGAAAGGTTTGGAAGCTCAGACAGAAAGGAAATGTACTCCGCTCCGTTTCATTTTTGCAGCTCGTTTACTCTCAGCTCTTTAAATTGAGGTCTATTTATTTTTATATTCCGGGTGTTTTGTACCTTGGTCCTTGACAGGCGACAGACATTGATTATAAATAAGCCAGGTAATTATGCTGTTTGCGCTTTGCTCTGCTCTCAGGCTGAATGTGTTTTATAGATAGGCAGCAATCATTTTAATGGGCCTTTTTTGAGACGGGGGGCCGTCAGTCAGGCGATTAAAAGGCTGTGATGGTAGAGAGGAGCTTATAATGATTAAAGGCCAGGTAGGGCGAGAGGGAGATGGAAAGAAATGTGTGCAACCAAAGACTGTGCATATTTCACAGCAAAGTTATAAAACCATTGAGATTGAAGCTGAATTTGTCAGAATTCCAGCACTTTAACCCTGTAATGCCAAATGTATCATATTTGATACATACGGTTTCTGAAATGTTTTGCGTCTGACACCTTTTGCATAATTTAATGGTAAAAACTTTGCTCAAAATTATATTGTACACAATCAGATATACCTGATCACAGAGGGCATAAGACTACCTTACACAAAAAATAATCCTGACTTATCGGATAGTATTAAAT